ATCTGGTGTTGCCATGTGCGTAGATACGTGCAGGTTTGCGACGTGATGCTGCAAAACGCATTGTAATGAGAGCATGAATGTTGAATGGGCTTTGTTTTGGGGAGGAAGCCGGAGCACGAAACCTTGAGTTTTTCCATGTAAAGTGGCTGCAGCCGGCAATAAAAGGTACCTCCTGTGTGCGGCGGTTGCGGCTGCGGTCGGTTTTCCTTTTTGTTTGCCGCACTGCGTGCGTATTTATTGGGTGTCTTGGAATCTGTGGTTGCAGATCGCATTGAAAAATTTGCATGATTGTTGTCATCTGGTGTTGCCATGTGCGTAGATACGTGCAGGTTTAAGACGTGATGCTGCAAAACGCATTGTAATGGCTGCATGAATGTTGCATGGGGCTTGTGTTGGGGAGGAAGCCGGAGCACGAAACCTTGTGTTTTTCCATGTAAAGTGGCTGCAGCCGGCGATGAAAGAATCCACTATAAATGGCCATTTTCAATAGCTAATTTTCCTTCCAAAAGTCCTTTTAAAAGTGCTTCAAAATCGTATTTTTGTCGCTCTGGCGTCGAAATCCGGTTTTGGAGAGCTGCAATTTCCGACGCTGTTGCGCGTAGTTCTTTTGACTTTTGCAATTCAGTGTCTGCAGATCGCATTGTAGTGGTTGCGTCAAGGTTGCTTGGTGCCGCGGCTGCATGCGTAATACTATTTGCAGCTGGATCTCGTAAATCGTATTGGACTGGCTGCATCAAGGCTGCGACAGTGATTTGTCAGCAGATTTTCTCAATTTTGGCACTAATAGCAATTTTCCTTTAAACAAGTCCTTTTAAAAGTGCAACAAAATCGTTTTTTTTTCGGTTTGGCGCCGGGATCCATCCGGTTTTGGAGCTGCAATTCCTGTTGTGATTATGTACAAGAAAGCTTCTCTGTGTAAAAACTTTTTTCTGTAAAAGCTTGCTGTGTGTAAGAGATTTTGCGTGTAAAAGCTTGCTGTAAAAGCTTCTCTGTGTGTAAAAGCTTCTCTGTGTAAAAGTTTCTGTGTGTGTAAACGCTTGCCATGTGTAAAGGCACTGTGTGTAAGTGTTCTGTGTGTAAACGCTTGCTGTGTGTGAAAGCTTGCTGTGTGTAAAAGCTTCTCTGTGTAAAAACTTGTTGTGTGTAAAAGCTTCTGTGTGTAAAAGCTTCTCTGTTTAAAAAGCTTGCTGTGTGTAAAATAAAAGCTTCTCTGTGTAAAAACTTGTTGTGTGTAAAAGCTTCTGTGTGTAAAAGCTTCTCTGTGTAAAAACTTGTTGTGTGTAAAAGCTTCTGTGTGTAAAAGCTTCTGTTTAAAAAGCTTGCTGTGTGTAAAAGCTTCTCTGCGAAAGAACTTGCTGTGTGTAAAAGCTCTCTTTGTGCAAGCTTTGTATCACAAAGTAGTGCAAGGTTTGTAGTACAAAGTGGTACTGGGAAGTGCTTTGCGCAAGCTTCGTAGTACAAAGTAGTACTGGGAAGTGCTTTGTGCAAGCTTTGTAGTACAAAGTAGAACTTGGAAGTGATTTGTGCAAACTTTGTAGTAACAAGTAGTACTGGGAAGTACTTTTTGCAAGCTTTCTAGTACACAGAAGTATATACTGGGAAGTAGTTTGTGCAAGCTTTCTAGTACAAAGTAGTATTGGGAAGTGCTTGTGCAAGCTTTGTAGTACAAAGTAGTACTGGAACGTGCTTTGTGCAAGCTTTGTAGTACAAAGTAGTACTGGGATGTACTGCGTGCAAGCTTTGTCATACAAAGTAGTACTGGGAAGTACTTTTTGCAAGCTTTCTTAGTACACAGAAGTATATACTGGGAAGTAGTTTGTGCAAGTGCAAGCTTTCTAGTACAAAGTAGTATTGGGAAGTGCTTTGTGCAAGCTTTGTAGTACAAAGTAGTACTGGAACGTGCTTTGTGCAAGCTTTGTAGTACAAAGTAGTACTGGGACGTACTGCGTGCAAGCTTTGTGCAAGCTTTGTAGTACAAAGTAGTACTGGGAAGTGCTTTGTGCAAGGTTTGTAGTACAAAGTGGTACTGGGAAGTGCTTTATGCAAATTTTGTAGTACAAAGTAGTACTGGGAAGTACTTCTTGCAAACTTTGTAGTACACAGCAGTACAGGGAAGTAGTTGTACAAAGTATTTCGGAAAGGCTTTTGTATTTATATGCATTTGTGTCTCAAGTGTTTGCGTGCAAAAACTTTCTGTGCCCAATGTTTTTTTGTGCAAGAGATTTCTCTTTGACAGTAAGAGCTTTCTGGCGTGCAGAACAGCTAAGATGAGTTGAGACGAACTTCAAGGAGATGAGAATGGTTGGTCAGTTGGTCAGTGCTCGGATGAGATGAAAACAGTTGAGAAGAACTTACTTAAATGACATGTGAGAAGAGATGGGATGAGATGAGAAGAGCTGAGATGAGGTGAGAAGAGCTCACATGATTTGAGATGAGATGAAGTGTCGAGTGCGAAGTGCAAGTGTGAAGTGCAAGTGTGAAGTGTGCAGTGTGAAGTGTGAGGAAAGTGTTTGCTTGGCGTTGCATTGCGCCGGGGTCGTGCGCAGGTCATGTTCTTGGACAACATCTGCGCAACAGCTTCGCACAAAGCACGCACGCACGGGCCTGGCTGGTGCACGGCGCATGCAATTCTATAGATGAAAAAGGTTTTTTTAGTATATCCCGAAGGCAACTTCCACCCCGCCTCGTGCGGGTACTACTGGTAAGTGACCAAAAATGTCACAATAGCCTCATGTCATTTGCTAACAAGGCCCAAAAATGGCGGCACACAAAAAACATTTCAGATGGCCGACAACTCTCAAGAAATCTGCTCAACGTAGGTAAAAAAATCTTCACTTATTCCCATGTCACCTGACCCTAATATAATTCGATGATTCATTGTTTTTTTTAATCATTGACTGACTGATTCACTGATTCACGAATTCATCGAATGTTTCATTGATTCGTTGATGCGATGATTCATTGGTTACTTGGTTCAATGATTCATTGATTACTGCATGAATTTTTCATGGTTTCATTGATTCACTCATTCACTGATTCGATGATTCCTTGATTCATTGATTCACTGATTCATTGAATGATTCAATGGTTCATTGCTTCAGTGAATCATGGATTTGTTTACCCACTGGTTCGTTCATTCGTTGGTTCATTGATTCAGCGATTCGTTGCTTCATTGCTTTATTAACTCATTGGTTGGCTGAGTCATGGATTCTGTGATTGGTTCTTTGATTCAGTGATTCATTCGTTGACCCGTTGGTTGATTGATTCGTTGATTCATTGATTTAATGATGACTCATTGATTGGATTGAACCGATGATTCGTTGATTCATTGACTTACTGATTCACTGAGTCGATGATTCGTTGCTTCATTGACTCATTCATTCACTGAATCATTGATACATTGATTTCTTGAATCGTTCATGTGCTGATTCATGGATTCCTTGTTTCATTGATTGATTGGTTGATTTACTGATTCATTGGTTCATTGATTCACTGATTCACTGATTCATTGATTCATTCATTGATTGGTTCATTAATTCATTGATTTTGTGATCCATGCACTGCACTGCTTCGTTGATTCACTGCTTCAGTGATTGGTTGTTCATTGATTCACTGATTTATGCGTTGATTCGTTGACTCACTGCTTCAGCGCTTCATTGATTCAGTGACTCATGAAAATTCATGCATTGTTTGATTCACTGCTTCCGTGATTGACTGTTTTTTGATTGGTTGATTTATTGGTTTGTTGGTTCCTTGGTTCTTTGATTGATTCAGTGTTCATTGGTTCATGGATTCAGTGATTCAGTGTTCATGCATTCTTTGATTCATTGATTCGTTAGTTCATTGGTTCGGTCAATATGCCGTGCATGGTTTTTTTCATGTCAGTTTGTTGGCATGTCAACCACCACTTGCTCATTCGTTGATGCACTTCACAAATTCAACACTTCATTGATTCTGCATCTCAAAAAAATAGTTAGCTGGTGTAAAGTTTCCGAAACTTCCGCCCCTCCGCGGGCCGGGCACTACCAAACATTATATAGATTATATAAGATTATGGTAACCGACAGAATTATGGAAAAAAAACGTTCAACTTAGACAGGCGGCGCCTGCGTCCGATTTTTCCATAATTGGATTTTTCTCCATAAGGGTTCGAAATATCCCGGAAGTGATCCGAACCTTTTTTTTTTCCATAATTCTTGGAGGTGGCCATTATTTCCATAATTGATTTTTCCTGTGAAATCAGGGGGCTAGGGCAGATTGACCGGTTTTTACATAATTATTTTTTCCACAATTAATGTTTGGGGCTCCACCTGTTGGACATGTCATGGATCCACAATTCAAACCCGTTTTTTTCTATAATTCAATATTCCCCCTTAAAATGCATTCAAATTGCGAACATCACATGATATTATGTATATCAATGGAAAACTTAGGGGCATATACCAGATCTTTAGACACATATTTTCTATAATTCAATATTCCCCCTTAAAATGCATTCAAATTGCGAATCGATGGACATACAGTCACCGACAGAATTATGGAAAAAAAATATGGAAACAATAATTATGGAAAAAAAAAGGTTCGTAACTTTTCTATCATAGACAGGCGGCGCCTGTAAATTGAAACGTTTTTTTTTCCATAATTCTGTCGGTGACTGTATATAAGACAATATAGAAAATTAATAAAATTTACTGTTTATAGGTGTCATTTGTGCTGTTGGCCTTGTTCTACCATATAGGATTTCCAGACATGAAACGATATCAATGAATTTTCTCCGTTGCATCATGTTGCATCCCGGCATCCAATTGGATGCACCCATCATGTTATGATCCTTTGAAGACACTCTTGACCTTTTTTTTCCCTACGGAACATGGCCCATTTATAGTAAATTTATAGATCACTGGCCGGATTCCCATAGCAAAGTGTTAAATTACCAGAGGGCATCATTTTCCATCGGCATACCTTGCCAAATCAGCAGGTGGCGTGAGCAGCAGCAAACGATGCCCGTGTTTTCAACTGAGAAATCCATGGAGTCCATAGCGTATCTGAATGAAGCCTTCAACGTCTCCCGGCCAAAACAAAGGGGGAAAGATCTCGGTGGTTTCCAGGCGGATGGCCCGGGTGGGTTCACATCAATTTCACCTCTTTGTCCAAAGGCCTGCATGAAAAAGTTGAACCAACTGCCAAACTGAAGCATGTCGAACCTGTAAACACACACACACTCAAAAAACTAATAAAACGAGAGATGACAATCATGATCAATCATGACCCATGCAATCACAAATTGAGCACCTGCCTAGATACAGACAGATACGATGGTGATTTCATGCACGGATAGCTGAATTCAGGACTGGATGAAGAAGAATCATTTGCAGCCACGCTTGCCTCCCGGCTTGAAGTAAAATCAGATTCCAACATCCTGTATAAAAACCAACTCTTGTGCTGTTCCCACCACCTGGCCAACACAAAATGATCCATATTTTTCTGTCACATTTTGAAAACCTTCAGTTTTTGCAAGAAACAGATCAACAGTTGCACATTTCAGCACTCGGAGAAAGAATCCAACCCTCTCCAGCTGGTTTGTTGGTTGGGTCCACCCCGAGGTCGGACAAACTACAGGAGACCATCCTGTGTCAAAACACGCTGCGGGAGGTGGCTTTGCAACATCAGGTGCACCCGAGCTTCATGGTGGGACACATCTGGGGCCCTGAAGGTTGGGTCTCTTGGCATCTCTTGGCACGTATGACAAGATGTGGCAAGTGAAACACCAAGAGCGGCAAATATCTCAAATTAAAAGTCAAACATTGGAGTGGAGACTGGAGATTTCATCATCCTTTACAGCAGATTGATTATTACAGTATCATTGATACTTCTATTTTTCAAAGTGACCTTGGCCTGGGTTTGACCGTGCAAGGACCCGGGTAGGCGTTGCATTTCTCGTCGTCATGTCTCTTTTAACATTTATAGTTTTATAACCATTCCAGGACAATCTTGTCAAGTAGGAGTTTTGTAGGGTTCCCTGCATTTTTTCGATGTTTTCTCGACCACCATGGGCTTCCCAGGTTCAAGGCAGCTTGGCAATGACCAAATCCAAAAAGCTGAAATCACTCCAAGTGGAGCTGGAAGAAGGTCTGCCTCAGGCCTTCCTGAAGGCTCACAGCTGCTTGGTGGAAGACCTGGTTGGTGGTTGGTTAATGACCGAAGGTGGCTGGTTTGATGGGAACACATGGAAGAACAGTTTGATGGTGGGAAAGCGGCCTAGAAAGACCCAATTTTGTGCAGGTTGGTTTGAAATATTCCGGAAGGACGGAAGATTGCAGGAAACCGGCTAGAGTAGCTTGTACAGCAGTTTTCTTGGCTGATGCAAGGGGAAACCTACAAGAAAGCATGGGGAGTCCTATAGCCTAAGATGCTATGCGTCTCGATCAGGGCTGCAGCTGCCCGGGTCCAGGTTCCATTGGTTGCCAATGCAGTGGAGGATTCAACATGCCAAGGTGAAATCGTTCAGTTTTAGCGGAAAGACGAGTGACTGAAATAGATTGCAATCCAGCCAGACATCTAAGATGAGAGCATGTACTTTTCAACATTTGCGTTCGTTTCATTGGCTGCATATCCCGTGTGTTGTTATACGGTATCATTAGACAATCTTTGTTACTTGTTGCTGATCACATCCCTGTGACATGGTTTGACCATATGGTTTGACCATGTTCAGCCCCTTCTGTTTGTTGAGCGCGTTCCCGTGTCCAGTCGAACTCCACCGTTTCTTTCAGTTGACTCGAGCAGAAACGTTACATATTCGTCTTTTCGACCTTATTTGGGAGGATCAGCAATTGGCGAAGCGGCTATAGTTTCTTCAGATGGGGCAAGACTGTTAAAGCATGTTAAAGCACATTAAAATCATCCAAAGCGCAAGAATTGGAGTCCAAATTGGATTCCGAAGATTTCGGAAGCAGCTAGATTCTAGATTATATCTATGGATATACTACATATATACACACAGCAGACATCAGCAGACACACACACACAGATATATATATATATATATTTATAATCTATATATAATAATTTGTAATCATATATATATAATCATATATATATAATATCCAGCTAGATAAACTGTTCCCTGCCTCCAAAATCTCAGGCTCTCGCATGCATCGTGCGTGTTCAGCCTGTGTGGCTGCACATCCAGCGCCTTGGCGGGCTCTGGATGTGGCACTGGTGCTTTTACCATCATTTTGATGGGGATTTAACCATCAAGAATGGGCAGTTAAGCAGGAAAAATGGTGGATGAATGGGAAATAATTTGTTAGGGCTGGGTGTTCCAGAGGTTTCCTGAAGTCTTTGAACCACAAACTCTGCTCGGATATTGAAGATTTAAAGTATGCCAGGTTTGATAGGTGGGCGATTGTTTGGTCTCCATTCTCCGACAGTGAGATGCAAGTCAACAAACAGAAGTTGAACACTTTCCTCTCTTTTGTTGAAGACATCGTGGTCGTGGCCGATGTGAATGTAGAATCTGCGAACTCCGTGTGAATCCCTATGAAAAGGAGGGGCATTGATTTAGAATCCATGTCGAAGTCCCAGCATTTGATCTCAGCAAGTGAGGTTTGCGAGCTATGGCAGTGGGATTTGCACATTACCTCAGCAAAGCGTGCCAAGATCATTGCAGACTGCATCCTTGGCTCCTGGACGGCATGGAAACCAACAGCCCACCAGCTCGGATGAGACCCTCTGTTGGTGAGTGATTGGTAACCTTAGGAAGTCCATGATTTATTGTGTACCCCAGACTTGATTGTAACATTCCTGGAGGATCCCGTGAAGAGCCATCCCAAATACATAACCCAAAGGACTTTTCATCCCAAGTGGAACGCTACTTGACTCACAACAGCTATGACTCTGACATGAGAAGTGGCCAAAGCAGCTGGCTGGTGGTTCAGTGATGGGTCTATCTTTTCTCGCAGGAGATTTACAACATCGATGTTAAACATGGAAATCAACCAGCGCTTTGCATCCCCGTGCTCTTTCTTTGTGAGACAATGAAGGGAACCCCATTTGTTCCATACTGTTCCTACAGGTTCAACATTGAACATGGTGAAAGCTGGTTTCACCCAGTCTGAAATGATGTAAACACCCACATTGCTTCAAGTGACCTTCCCAAATTTTTCCATACATTTTTTCCAGGTGCAGAAACCTGAAAATTCACCATCCAGCTCCATCGCGCCGGCAACGCCAGGGTCTTTGGCCTTTGTGGCGCTCTTTTTCTCGGTGGACGGGACGGCGGTGGCGGCGCGCAGCCCTGAGAACTGCCCGGTGCAGCAAGGTGCCAATCAGAAATTTCGAGAATTAGGCGGAATTGGATGTTTGCGCAATTTGCAGAAAAGCCCTATATTTGAGGATCAGCACGTATCAGATTTCTAAGATTTCGCTCAAAACATGGAGATCAATCAAGAAAACCCACTGAAATGGGACATATAAACAGAAGAGGGATAGAATTTCCAGTGCAAGATCATTGATCCTATTGAAGACGAGTCAACCTATCCTAGCAGGGTTACCCTCTAGTAATCAAACCTTGCAATGGAAAGAACTCCCACTATTTATATAGTTTGATGACTTTCCCGGCTAGAAACCTCCATTTAGTTCGGGGATTTCCCAGCTAGCTTGGTTTGACGACACCAGAGAGGCTAAATCCCCAATGATCCCATTATCATACTATATATCCATTGTAACCCCAGTGGATATGGTTGAGATTATTTATATATATATATATACATACCGTATGTCCCCAAATATCCGTATGTACAAAAATCATACAATATACATACAATATACATACATACTCATACATATACATGCATACATAGATGCATACATACATGCATACATACATGCATACATGCATACATACATGCATACATGCATACATACATGCATACATACATGCATACATGCATACATACATGCATACATGCATACATACATGCATACATACATGCATACATATAATAGTATTATATATACCCGTTCTAGCCCCATACAGCCCTTCTTCAGGTACCTTCCTATGGTACACTTTCGTGGCCATCGTCTCCATCCTGTTGAACCTCATCCCCCGAGGGCTCATCATGAGCCTTGGACCTGCCCTGACCCTGGAGACCTGCATCCGTTCGATGGGATATGGAAATTCCTCTTGGAAATATTGCCCTCTAGATCCCTCTAGTAAACGAACAGTTTGCCATTGAACATGGCCATAGAAATAGTTGATAGCTACCCATTAAACATGGCGATTTCCCATAGAAATGTCAGTTTACCGGATGGTAGATGAAATTAGATGAATCTAGATGCTTTTCTCGGAGATAGCGTTCACCTAAGTAAAAACCCGCATTTTCGGTGTGTTTTTAGCAACATATTTCTGATGCATTGGTTTTGAGGAAGGATCTTTGTACCTAACACTGCCACGGGATAGAAGAAATGGTGTCAGGTACATAGCCTACCGTGGCTTTGTCCAAGAGAGCACCATGCATCGAAAGTGGCAGCTCCGACTGTTGCACTTCAAGGATGCGTGTTTCTGGACACTGGGAGTTCCTTGTCCCAAATCTTCGCGGATGGGTGTTGGATGATTTGCTGAAATCCCTGGCCTGAAAAATGCTCCCAAGGTTTCACCCTTCACATTTCGGTACAAAAAACATAGTCCAAGCGGTGCCGCGGTGCCAGGTGTTGGTCAGCTCCATTCAGCTGCTGGTGATCATTGCATTTCTCGCCAATCTTAGCGAAGTGGACGAGTGGAAGTGGCTGATTTCCTTTGCCGTGCCTTGCCTCGACGGCGAAAAAAAGGGGGAAACTCAATGAAACTCACCTGGCGGAGAATTATGGAGAATTCCCCCCTGGTGATTATTGAACCATTGCTACAGTATTCTTCAGCCAGTGATTTTGGTGATTGGGTGGCCCTCAAAGATTGACGGTCCGCGATTTTGGTCTGAGAAGACAGCAAATGGTCCTGCAAAATTGGCCGCACTCATTTTTGTTGCTCAATCACCATCAAGCACCCATTTTGTTGCCTCAACCCATGAACATGCACAGAAAGGCTTGAAGATACAGTGCTATATAATATGTCATATTTTTGCATGTTTTGCGTGCTTCAGGCTTCCCGTTAAAACATGCAAAAAACATCAAAAGACTATAATAATAAATAATATATTAAAACATGTTACTGGTTATGTGGGTACCTCCTGAAATGTTTTGAACCACCCTCCCCCATCAAAGGTCTCCCAGAAATACATACGGATGACGTTCAACGAGATGGGCCATGACAGTCAATCCTTTCACTGCCGGCATCAGGTGGTCTTGGTGCGGAAGATGCTGCTGGTGCCCCTCTTGGCATGTCTCTTTGCGAGCCTCGGGACAGAGATAGCCGCCTGGAGTCAACCTTCCATTGTATCACAGCCGCCCAAGAAGTGGCTGGGTGGCAGGGGGGAAGCCAAGTGAGGAAGCTTGGTTGGTAGAATGTGGGGGATAAGTCATCCCGACTCAGGTTTTATATGGGGTACAGTATACTATACTCGTACTTGGGATGGGATGTAAATTTGACCACATGGTAACCGGTTTACGTTCGATTCATCGTTGTTAATATTGTTTGTATTCGTTTTGTTATCATTGTTATTGTTACCACTGTTGGTGCTATTGTCACTATTACGTACGATTGCATTCAAAATTTAGAACAGGTGATTACATCCCCGCCGACACCCGCTCTCCAGAACTAGGGTTATGCAAGATGTTGGATATTTGACCACTTTGTTTGCCACGTTACATGTTTAGACAATTTCTTGCGAAAGAGGTGTTTATTAAATGTTTATGATGTGCATAGGCACGGAAAAAGAAAACAAGCAGAAATACATATTACCTAGCAACCAGCAACATAATTGTTATATTATAACTAATAATAATGATAATAATAATAGTAATAATAATAATAATATTTAATTTAAAATAATATAATGTAAAATTATATACCCTAACATGCCATGACATAATATAACATAGTATAACATAACATATATATATATTTAATAAAATATAATGTATATATATATATTTATATTACCATAACATAACATAATATAACATAACATAATATACTATAATATTAAATATAGTATAATGTGTATCCATGAGAGCATCGTGCGTATCTCTCTACTTCAAGATGAAATTCCAGTAGAATTCTTTTAGTGGATTGAAACCAACATCCAGGCATATCCAGGCATTCTTTGCAAGTATGTGCCCTTATAGTTAACCTATGGAGTGAATGCAATTCAATTCTGGTCTGGTTTTCCCTCAGAGGCTAGTCACTCGGCTGGTGGAAACCATTCACACACACACAGACACACACACACACACCTGCCATTAGCAGTCGGCCAGTATGCTACCTATCAACCAGCCGAAAAAATGCATACAAACAACAGAAACATTCAATCCTGTACCCACTTTGGTTCATCATGGTTTATTTAGTGTTTGATTAAGCCATATTTGGGGGTTCAGAGGGCATGGCTTCCTCAAAGTTGCCACCAGGTTGGGTCTCGACATGGATTTGCTGGAGGGAAAGGTCTGGCTGAGGGTGGGCTGAAGCTTTGGGTTGGTTTTCAATTAATTTTAGGCACAAACTCTGGAAAACATTCCTTTCAACATCGGGATTTAACTGGTTACATCATGTAGGTTTGTGCATGGTGGATGTGCTCCGTATTGCACTGGCAATTTGAATGGCAACATGATGACACACAGTGGGATGCAATAATATGGAATGGACATGAACGGACTATCCTAGATTGTATTGTGTACGACTCTATGAGATCTGTGCAAATCCCATTCTTAGCCTTGAGATTTTAAACTCCCCCTACATGGAAGCCCAAGGGCCCAAAATGAAATGAACACCGAAACCAGGGTCGAAACCAGGCGTGTTTGTTTCAGGGGATTCAACCGTCCTGGCCCATGAATGAGCCACCACTGTACCGAACGTGGTGACAACAGGGCTGAAGATGTTGGAATCAACGTCAGATGGGTTTCTGCAAGACAAGGGAGTCATTGAATTTCAAAAAAGAAAGATCTCAGGATTTCAAAAAGTAGATAAGTAAAAACCAATAGCTGAAATCTCCCAGCTGTTTTTGTGCACCTGCGAGGCAGTGCTGGAAATGGAGGAGGAGGGTGAGTTGCAGCCTGGCTTGGTGAATGCTAAGGCTTTATGGGTTTCAGAAGTTATGTAACAAAACAGCTGGTTCTTTTTCAGGATGCTGAATCATCATCCACGAGCTGTGCCAAAAACCCGAGCTTCAGAGCTGAGGACGGAGACATGGACACAGAAAGTGGAGGAATTGGCGCAGCGAGGCATCACCATCCGTGCCCCGGTGCAGCAAGGCGCTGGAAGAGGCTGACACTGACATGGAAGCCCTGGTCATTTTCAATGGACATCAATGGATATCAATTGGACATTGATTTATGAGACCCATCTCATGGGGTTCCATATGAGTTTTTTACATGGTTTAATGACTGTGAGATATGCTGGTTCTGTTCCCATGTTCGTGTTTTTCCGGATGAAACACCAGACCAATTCTTGAATGGCAAAGATGTTAGAATTGTAATTATCTTTGCCTCTGCTCAGATGCCATCAACCACCATCAACCACCATTAACCACCATTTTGTTTGCTGGTTCCATGCTTGCATTTGGTTGTGGGTCAAAATTAGGCACCCCAAACTAAGTGGTTCATCCATGCTAGTCGTAAACATGATAAGACCATCTGCGGTTCCCCGTGCAGTTTAGCCCCAATGGTATTTATTCATTTTATTCCCAATGTTGGGGTTTGTTTCAAAATGGATCATGTCGCATCATGCCTCAATGTATGGTCATTTAGAATCAGAGAACATGTTAATGTATTGAGCATAGTAATTGAAAGAATATGAGGTTTTTCAGTTGTCAGAGAAGCAATCTGATAATGATACATTTCCCAGCAATGAAATACATACACATAATCACATAGGCATAGGTATACCCTGATTATATATATATATCTAGGTACATTTATATCCATGAGATTTCCTCACATTTTTCAGAGAAATCCTTTGACAGTCCGTGCTGTCCGTGCTGTTTTGAGGTCAGCTACTGGACTTCTATGCCAGCCTCGGGACGCTGATGTCACCTGGACGTCGCGATCTGTGTCGGGTTGCTGATGTAAGCGTCGATGGAAGTTCGTAAATCCCACTAGAAAAGTATAGAAAAGTGATAAGGTACTTTCATATACTTTCACGATCTTTCATGTACTTTCCCATTTTAGGATATTTTTGGGGAGTTGCCATAGTTTCCACATGTTTCCACCAATGACATCTCCCTTCGTTCGCGTCGAGGCCCCACTTCGATCCAGACAGATCCACAACTCATGACGTGGTGCGGCAAGCCATCATCCCCAATTCCCTGCACTACAGGAGCTGCGTGGAGCTGCCCGAAGTCCTGGCATGTCCTGGCCAAGTCCCTAAAAGCTGTCGCCAAGTCATCCAAGTCCTGTTTTTCGATGCAGAAATAAGTGGATTAAATGGTCAGAGATGGTCAGCAGGTGACGGCCAACAAAACAACAAGATGGCTATTCGAAGTAGCATGAAGTAGCTCTTGTTTGGGGAGCTATGAGCTGCTTGCCAAGGTGCAACAGATTGGTGCACCAAATTCCATGACTCATCATGACTGACAGTTGATTACTGTATATATGTATAGATATTCATACAGTACTATACACCCTTTTCTAGCCCATTGTTCAAAGGAGCCCCCATGTCTTTCAGGCTGGACGACCATCAGATCCCAATCGTTGTTGGATAAAATCAAGCCACTTCGGCCATTTCAGACACCATGAATTTTGCCAGGGAAATAAATCACATTTTCATTCTTCTTCGCTGACTTTGCTGGCTTATATTACTTTTCTATATTCAAAAACCCATTGTGCCCCGTTGTCGCCTTTGAAATAGCTTGTTTTTCTCTGGCTGAGGCCTCACATTTCCATCTTGTTGCTTTAACCCCAGCTCAAAATCTTGCCGCCTTTGAGCCTCTTGATGCCCCAACACTATGGGGCACTATGGGCTTGGTGGAAACTCACAGCGCAGGAATTGGCGTACCTTCATGGTGGTGGTGCACCAAGCGTCTGACCTGGCAGCCATGGACTTCTTCAACAGTGATCCCTACTGCATTGTGCGCTGCGTGTCGTGCCCTGGCACATCGGGTTGGGGGATGTGCGGGTTACCGTGCTTACCGGGTAGGGTCAGGTGGGGAGGTTAACAAAGGTTGAGGTTTGTGGATTTTTTGGATATATCTTGACATGTTCACGAAATTTCGATGTCTTGTTGCGTTGAAGGAGGAATGACATGGAATGAGTATAGGATGCATCCCGCAAATATTCCCGCAAGACAAGTTTTTTGCTTTGCGTGGTACTGGTTGGCGCACACATACGTAACATGTAATTACATATTATGTGTGCAAATATTTACAATATTTTACAATGTTACATACCGTATGTATATGCCCATCATTCATTATATTAGATATAACAACGACTGCACATATTTCCACATATTTCCTCATATTTCCACATTTTACCATGAACCACACAACCATGGTACTACCAGAGGGTCATCAACCAGCCAAGGTCCATGCCCAAACCCTGGAAGGGCGGTGGTCGAAGTGCCACCATCAAGCAGACTCGCCACCCAAAGTGGGAAGAGGCCCCCGGGGGTTCAGCCAGTAACAAATATGGGGTCAATATGGGGTCAATTAAGATGCAAAAAGAGGATCTAAATGAAATTGGCATATACATAGACCATCATAGACCCAATACGGGATGGTTTTACGGTTTTACGATCCTTTGGGGCCTGTACTTTGGCCCATGATCACACATGGTGACTAAAGCGTTTCTTTTGCCCGTAAGCATGAAGGCAGAGTAAAACTTATTTGGGTATGTTCGCAGCACAACAACCAGACTAGTTAAGATGAGCCATTCATTGTGGCATGGACGTTGAAGTAAGGATGATCAATGATCAACGATGATTAAAGTCCAGTAAGTCATGGAAAGCCCACCAGGTGTACAGATAGATAGATAGATTAGATTAGATTAGAAAATATCAGATTAGATTAGATTAGATTAGATAGAATAGATTAGATTATATAGATAGAATAGATTAGATTAGATTAGATTAGATAGAATAGATTAGATTAGATTAGATAGAATAGATTAGATAGAATAGATTAGATTAGACTAGATTAGATTAGATAGATAGATAGATAGATAGATAGATATATAGATATAATATATTTAAATAGATAGATCTTGTTTCTTCCGAGAAAGAAACTACCACGGAGGGTAACCAACTCATCCTGAGGCCTTCCTGCTATACGAAGTGGTCCAAGATGAGTCCCTACATCTAAGTGGGAGCCTGAAATTTCCGCCGGTGAAACAAATTCATCCTATCTATTCATGGTTAATTATGGTTAATGAATGATGGCTAATAGTGGTTAATAATGATAACTGATGGTTATAACAACTGGCTTTAACGCTTGACTGCTTCAGGATCGGAGTATTTGCTTCACAAGGATTTCATGTGAATATTATTTGTGAATATGGACGATGATGTTAATTGATGTTAATCCACGATGAAGATTATGCTAGCCACGGTTCTACATTCCACTCGCACCAAACTGCCGATCCAGTCGCGCCATCGTGACACAGCCGAGGTGTTTAGGATCAAGATGTGTTGAGCAAGGACTGTGGGGGCCATTGGGGGCCTGCACGTCTCAGCACCTAGAATTTTCACCTGCAAAGCCCTAAAGATGATGATGGCATGTAGGTCAGACTGTGTTTGAAGCGCCTAATACTTTGGTTATATATAGGGAACAAGGCGAACCAACCAGTTTTTTTTTGGGGGGGGGCAGGGTGTCTAAGGCGAGTCTTGCATGATCACCCTCATTGAAGGACTTAGTGACCTCAGCAGCCATGGCCCAATCTTTTAAGTGGAAGGACAAGTCACATAACATGTGTAAAGAAGATCAATGTAAAGATGTTTTGCAAACTGAATTGCTCTAAACTTCTTATTTAAATCAACATCATGCTCGGCCAGCTATTTTGATGATGGCTTGACTTGATGAATCTGTGTGCGCAGACTTTTCTCTGGGTTTTCGGGCAGTTTGGTTCAACAACATTCATATGAGAATTTGTTTGGTGGGTTTCTCATGGTTTCTCCATGTTTCTCCTATTTAGCACCACCATTTAGAGTGCCGTGCTGGGAGGTTGCTATCCTTTAGCCAGATTCCGTACTTCCTCATGCTTCGGCAGGACGATGCTCTAGGGGAAGTGAGCCTAGCTGCATCTGTTGCTCGGCGGAATTCGAAGTCTAAGTTGAACATCTTCGTACGAGTTTGTTTGAAAACAGCCTACCCTTAAACCATTTGAAATCCATTCATCATCATTATTATCCCTGTTGAAATTTCATGAAATTTCCATTTGAGGGGTATGCGCCAACCTCAGATTATGTCTGCACTGTATCTTCATTATATCCCCATAATGATGGTTACTCTCTTGTAATCAAACGTGGCAATGAAACATGACCCATTTAGTTCGATGATTTGTCCATTTAAATGTCCATTTCGTTCAGGCATTTTCCAGCCAACCATGTTTGACTACCAGAGGGTAACTCCACAATTGTCCTTAAATCGACGATCATACCCCATTATATCCCCATAGTAATGGTGTCCTTTACCCGCCAGGAAAAAACATATATCCCATTATATCCCCGGTTATATCCCCATGATATCCCAATCATGATTGTTAAATCCCCCCTAGTTCTTAAATCAACAATAATCTCAGAAAGCCTTGTCTTGTGCTGAGGACTTTTGGGATGGCTTCGATGGGACCCTGCCACTGCAAGGCCCTGGTACCTCTGCTGGGTCATCGCCTGTGCTGCAGATCACGGTGACGTCCTACCTGCAGCGTGCCTAACCACGAAATGGAAAACTGCATGAGGGCCTGCTCTTGGGAGGCTTCAACAGAAACGTCATGAAACATCAGACATGCTAGAATACAGTCCGAGAGTTGGTTAAGAATCCGAAAGCTTGAAGCCCAGGGTCCCTCAAATTTTTATTTTTTAATGCAGGCAAATTTCCACCACAATAGGTCGAGGGTCCCTCAAATTCTTAGGGCATCTGCGCAATTCGGAGCGAGCTAAAGCGAGGCAACGAGGTCGAGTTGGCAGATTTAACAAGAGGCATGCGAAAACACATGTTTTTAGAGCCTCAAAAATGGTTTCTTTTTGCAAAGCCGGGCTTGTCTGAGTTTCACAAGAGCAGTGCCGAAAAAACAATTTTTCAGGTCGCGTTTTTTTTTGGCAGTGCCTGGCTTGACCCCTTCAATCCCCGCGAGAAGGGTTAATTCCATTTCATCTTTCAGGGGAGTGCAAAAAAACAATGTTTCAGAGCCCGAAACATTGTGTCTGAGGTTCAAAAGGGCAATGCCGAAAAAAACACTTTTTTAGGCCGCGAAAAATTATCTTTTTTGCAACCGCAACCCAGGCCAAACCCCAGCCCCTTGCAGCCAGCGCAGAGAGAGAATAAGAAGGCACAATTATCTAGAGGCAAGGGTCCTGTAGCACAATGGTCAGCATGTCGATCTTCACGCTTGAAGGTCGGAGGTTCGTTCGAATCCCGGGGGGTTTGCTTTGGGCATCTAAGAGGGTCTGCCAATATATAGTTTTCTTGGTTTCCTGTAGTCTGCTTTCCACATTCTACGCCGCGCAAACAACTTGTCAGAGTTGTTGCAAGGTCCAAGTCTATCCACATATAATTAGGTTTTGAGTGGATTGGAAGCAGTCTAAGCATGTGCGAAAAAACAATTTTTCGGAGCTTGAACAACTGTTTTTCTGCAAAGCCCGGCTTCGTCCAATAAGGCGACACGAGGTCACTCCACAATTAAAGGACCGGATAACCCCACATGTCAACTTCTTCCAATAATGGGCAACAAATGTTGTAGCGGGACGGGCAAGGCAGGAAACACAAAGGAGGTGGTGGAGGATCGAGAAGTAAAACAAGTTGTATGTGAAGAGTTGTGTGTGACAAAGTTGTATGTGACAGATTGTGTGTGACAAAGTGGTGGGAAAGATGGTGATGCAAAGATGGTGTGTCAAAGATGATGTGTGACAAAGTGGTGTGAAAGATGGTGTGTGAAAGTTGTGTGTGAAAGAGAGAGTGTGACAAAGTTGTGTGTGAAAGATGGTGTGTGACAAAGTGGTGTATGAAAGATGGTGTGGCAAAACATGGTGTGTGACAAAGTTGTGTGTGAAAGATGGTGTGTGACAAAGACGGTGTGTGACAAAGTGGTGTGTGACAAAGTGGTGTGTGAAAGATGGTGTGTGACAAAGTGTCAAAGATGGTGTGTGACAAAGTTGTGTGTGAAAGATGGTCTGTGAAAGACGGTGTGTGAAAGATGGTGTGTGACAAAGTGGTGTGTCAAAGATGGTGTGAGAGCCAGCCCAGTGCCGCAAGTGCCACGCTGCCACGCAAAGTGAGGATCCATGTCGCCAAGTGCCACGCCTGCCACGCAAAGTGAAGGTCCATGTCACCAAGTGCCACGCCTGCCACGCAAAAAGCCGCGGCGTCCACGGCGTCAACTGAGACCCAAGTGCGCCACCCAGTGCCATAAGTGCCACGCCTGCCACGCAAAGTGACGATCCATGTCACCAAGTGCCACGCCTGCCACGCAAAGTGAAGGTCCATGTCACCAAGTTCCACGCTTGCCACGCAAAAAGCCGCGGCGTCCACGGCGTCAACTGAGACCCAAGCGCGCCGCCAGAGCCAGCCCAGTGCCATAAGTGCCACGCGTCCACGCAGAATCGACGCTCGATGACGCCAAGTGCCACGCCTGCCACGCCAAAAGCCGCGGCGTCCACGGCGTCAACTGAGACCCGAGCACGCCACCAGAGCCAGCCCAATGCCATAAGTGCCACGCCTGCCACGCAAAGTGAGGATACCACACCTGCCACGCAAAGTGAAGGCCCATGTCGCCAAGTGCCACTCCTGCCACACAAAGTGAATGTGGGTGTCACTAAGTGCCACGCCTGCCACGCAAAGTTGCCACGTGAAACTGTTGACAAATTGTGTGTGTGGACAAGTTGTGCGTGAACAAGTTGTGTGTGAGTAAGTTGTGTGTGTGTGTGCAAGTTATGTGTGAGTAAGTTGTGTGTGAGTAAGTTGTGTGTGTGTGTGTGCAAGTTGTGTGTGAGTAAGTTGTGTGTGAGCAAGTTGTGTGTGTGAGTAAGTTGTGTGTGGACAAGTTGTGTGTGTGCAAGTTGTGTGTGTGTGTAAGTTGTATGTGATCAAGTTGTGTGTGAGGCGGCGGGAGGCGGGCAGACGGAGGCGGGCGGACGGAGGCGGACGGGATACAGAACCAAAAACAAGAACCCCACACAAAGATGTGGGGAAAAAACATGAACCGCAAAGGGGAATTGCAAACCTCACATATAAGCAGTAATTTAAGAATTTGGCAATCCTATTCCAGGGTCCCTCAAATTCTTAATCTACTATGTGCTTGGTATAGCTGAAAATATGGTGCCCGCCTTGGATCCGAGCCCCTCAAATTCTTATACAGTGCATACTTATACAATACTCAAGCAGCATCATGATGTCCGAAAGGAAAACAACTTCACCTTTATAGGTGTACTGCAAGAGTCTTGCTCGGTTCACGCAACGAAAAAAACATGAGTTTTGCATTGTGCAAAGCGTTGACTGATTGAACGTCATTGCGCTTCCAACTCTGGAGGGGTCTGTGGGCCATTCCTCCACATGATAGCGACCTCGCTAGGCAACCGACCCCCAGTTGTGATCCCAATTATTAATCATTTTTGATTGGGCTTCACCAATTGTTTTTTCCGTTTTTTCCCCCTTCGCTTTAGGACCCCCCCAATATCCAAAATTTCAACCAAAAAACCTGGTTCAGTGCCGATTCAGTGCTGAATCTATTCATTTTGGGTGTAGCATCCCCCAAAAAGACATAGTAGGAACTTAAATGTTACCCCGCCAGCCAGGTGAGGGTCTCTTGATTTGAACAATACATCCTGCGCCTCTTCCTCTTTTTCCCCTTCGTTATCATCGCCAAGTCGCCAAGATAGCCAACCTGAGCGCCAGCTTCATCAAATGTCAGATAGGTTACATAAAATATGAGAATGCCACATAGAATGTCAAAATATGTCTAAATGATATATGTCAAACAGAATGCCAGATCACGGAAGATATGTCAGATAGGCACTGATGGGATGTCAGAATATACATGTATATATTATATGTCACGCAGCATGCCAGAACATATGTCAGATAGAATGTCGAAAAACTGTCAGAATATATGTCAGAAAGAGAACACATTGTTATATAGAATGGAAGATAGAACTTTCTGAATATATGCCCGTAAGAATGCCTGATAAAATATCATATAGTAGGTCAGATAGAATGTCACATAAGATGCCAGAATGTTTGTCGGAAATGATGTCCGAAGGAAGTAGTTCTATCTTTGCTGGGGTTGCTATATATAAGTCCCTCCGAAAATGGCTTATCCCGAAACTTTATAGTCAATCATAATTTCTTCCTATCGAAAATTGCCAAAATGGATATACCCTTCAGACATACGCATCATGTTCATATCAAGTTGCTTAAGGTGAAATATCTGATTATCCCAAGTAGTTCTTGTTTTTCTCCATATTTT